AAAGCACCCAGTTTGTAGTACTATACAGGAGCCATAGGAAGCTTATATACCTTCAAAGGAGCTACCAATACTTTTCTGATGTCCTATTCTTTTACTTTGCCATTTTAAATGTTATTTTCTTTGCTTAAATTTGTATTTTTTGAAAAATGAACATGATTCATACCAATGGTAAAATTTTCAAAAAAAGTTCATTTTTGCTTCCCCATCTCTAGCCTACCATCCTTAATCTTCCAAGAAAGCCACTGTTCAGTGTTTCAGTGTATCCTTTCAAAATCTGTGTATACACAGTCAAGCATATGCACATTTCTAGCACTTTATTTTACTAAATAAGATCAAGATGTATTTAATGTCCTAAAACTTGCTTTATTGCTCTTAATAATACCTGTCTCTCCATACCCTTACTCTGCCTCCTTCTCTTCAGAGAATTAGTGTTCCATCATATGGGGGTATAACTTGTTTCGCCAGTTCCCTGTTGATGGACAACTAAGGTGTATCAGGTTTTCTGTTATTATGTGAAGTGCTCTAGTAAATTTCCTTGCATGTGAATCTTTGTAAACTTTACCAAGTATATTTGTAGGATTAAATCTTAGCAGTATAATTATATTTGTGAGTTATTTCCAGTTGTCTTCTAAAAAGTAAATAAATCTCCTTTAATATGCATTTACATGAGTGCATTCTTTTCTTTATGAGAAACATTCAGTTTTAGGATCACTGTGGTATGTAAAGACGATTTCAGATGGACTATGCTATAATGATTTATCGCTAATGTATACCTCAGCTGATTCTAAATATTCATTCAGTGTCTGATACTATGAATCTCACAATAGCTACTATTTTATGGCTGGCTGACTACAACACAAGGTAAGCAGTTGTTAAATTTAGAGACAATGTGAAGATAGAAAATAATTCATCCCCTTGGAATAAGATAGTGAAATTAGCTCACCAGGAACTTTGTGTCTTATGGGAAAAGGAACAGTCTTGATCTGAAAGAGGACTCTGCCTCTCTGGGGGCGGCAACTGTGCCAAGACTGTCAGGTTTGAGGGGTCACGACTAACTTAACGAAAAATAGCATCATCCCAGGGAAAGGGAATGGGTCCCTGTGGGAAAAGCTGGGTGCCACGAAGAATGACTGTATATTTTAAAATTTAGAATGTGGATATTTTTCATTATTTAGTGCAAGAAAGGGAGAACTGTTTGATCTTAAAAGAATGATTCTATGGCACCAGAAAGTAGGTAAGGTTTAACGACACCTACCCCGGATGGTTCAGTGGGTAAAGGATGCACCAGCCAATGCAGGAGACACAGGTTTGATCCCTGGGTTGGAAAGATTCTCTGGAGGAGGAAATGGCAACTCACTCCAGTATTCTTGCCTGGAAAATCCCATGGACAGAGGGGCCTGATGGGCTGTAGTCCAAACGGTCACAGAGTCAGACATGACTGAGCGACTGAGCTCACACACACCAGATCAAACAGTCCAATTTGATATTGCTCAAAAACAAAGGAAAATCACATTAAAAATGAAACATACTACTAATTCCTTTGTGGTCAAATACTTCTGTAAAAACTAGATGGACTTCCAGAGGAATTGGTAACAAGAACAGTGGACATGTATTCATGGGTAGGGCAGAGAGCAAAGCCAAGGGTACCTTAATATCTTCTGTTAGTCACTAAGGCATTTCATGAAAAGTTAAGAAAAATTTTTTAATTATTTATTAAATATATATATGTGTGTGTATGTGTGTATATATATATACACACTCTGTATATGTTTGAATGAGAAAATCTGTTAATTATCTTATTACACTGTATTGAAAGCTCTGACAGTCCATTCAGGAATTTGTGAAGTCTCCAGAAAAGGGATATACTCTAAAGGTGGAGCTTTTTGGGGTTAATTTTAAGCATCTCTGCTAACTACTGCCTTTTCCATATCTAGACTCAGGGGCTCCAAGCCAGAAGAGCTATTATTCATATACTTGAATATGCCTGAACCTGACCAAATTACTAATCACACCAGTGAAGAAAGAATGATGGATGCTATTGAGTTTTTTCCTTTCAAAAATTGTTTAATTTTTTATTAGTGAGGTTTATCACTTTTAAGATCTAAAGGGATAGTCAATGATTCATGTGGCCTGAGAACAGGTTTCATAAATACTTAGAGGAAGAGAGAAGTTTGGCTGCATGTTATATTTCCATGTAGGTTTGACCAAGGTTGTAAGCAGCAGGAGTGGTCACCGTGTCTGGCTCCCACTTACACTACATTTCTCTGTGCTCTTTATTATGTTTACTCTGTTATCATAGGCTTGTATGTGGGGTCCTGGGTATTCAGTAAGTGTCAACATTGAACATTTAAAAATATTATCATTCTCTATTGTCAGTCATTTGTTTCAGCAGCTTTGAAGTCATGTCAGAACATGCTTCTATGTTATTATAATAAATCTGTTCTAAGCTGCACCGAAGAGGACAATTAGAACAAATGAGATGGAGATTTCAGTTCAGGATTAAGAAGAAATTTATGATGATGAGCAGGATCATGCTTGAGGTCAGGGACCTGCTTTCACAGCAAGGCGTTTTGCAGGTTCTAGGTATTAAATCAATACCTTTCCATTGGAAAGCTGTATCCAGAATTGTTCAGAACCACATCATGAATTATCATTCTTCCTCTGAAGAGGATTTTCATATCCTTCAGTTCAGATATAGTCTCTTGAAAAGGCTGCTTGTGACTAATGTATCTGAAATATCCCACATCCACTCATAAGAAATTCAGTTTAGTTCCTCACAGGACAAGCCATCAGCTCACCTAACAATCTGATTGATTGATAGACCAATGACATGTCCAACTTTGACAGAGGAGACCATCTGGGAATTTGGCATCTGTGATCTAAGCTCGCTTTAATGCCCTCTGGATGAGGACTAAGACACTATCACACAGCTGCACACCCCAGAGACCCCAAACAAGCAATCATCTTTAGGTAAACTTTTATCTACGTCCATATTTTTCAACATTATTTGCATTATTAGTAGACTGAACACAACATCACCATGAAATACCTGAATTTAGGTGACTGCGTGGCATGCTCTCAGTGTGTTTCATTTGGAATATATTATTCTGGAATGAAACAAGGTCTTCAGTTTTTTTCTTAATTATAGGCCTTGGAAATCTTCCCATCTTAGTCCGTTAGATCTGTCTTTATACATGTTCTTTATGCATTGCATGAGGGTTTCTCTGGAGTAGACTCTAAGAACTCTAACTTTGGGGCTATGGAACCTGTGAATTTTTAAGTTTAGTATAAATTACCTTCTGAAGAAACTGAACTAATTTGCACTGCTTATCAGCAGTGTATAATAGTAATTATTTCTCCCTGCCCTTCCTAACATTTGATCTACATATTTTTTTTAAATCTGATAGATAAATAATGCCATTTTTCTGGCCTTAAATAAAGATCTAGTCTCCACTAAAAACAAATGAATAGATAGGTGAATAAATAGGTATCACACATACATGAACATATATCATTCATAGATGCTTATTCAGACTAAATCTTCTCACATCATTATGCTATTTTAATTGCTTTATTATAATATAATGAACATTTTAACACAAATCATATTTCTAATTTTAATCAGTTTCCTAAGCTTCAACTTCAGTCATGAATTAAAAAATTAAAATATGTATACTGAATCAAGATTTTATAAAGTCCTTACCCTACCCCCATTCCTTTTGTTCCCTGATGATCTTTTGTGTGAGATCCAGGAATCTGAGTTGGTGGTTAGGGCATTTAAAAGTATGAGAGAAGGTGACCAGAAATTGCTCGTTAGAGGCAGAAATACAGAGCAAAGAAGAGGTCAGACCAATTATTTCTCTCCATTACTGAGAATGCATGATATGAAAAGAGGGACAATTAACTCTAACCTTTTACACATTCAGCAAATATTTATTGTTGTCTACTGTACACCAGGGATGGGATTTATGTGTGAGTGAAATAATTATCCATTCTCATGGAGTATTCAGTCTGGTGGAAAAGGCACAAATAACAAATGCAATTACCAAATGGTGACGATGATGAAGGAAACAAAGGATGCTGACATGGACAAAAGCTGATGCCTAACTGCGCTGCCATTTCAAGGACCTCAAACACAAGAAGATGCTCTCCATGCAAAATTAGGAAGAAACCATTCCTAACAGATATTATTGCATTTTTAACCTGACCTTAATCGTGGTAGACTGAGAGAACCCAGTGAGAAGGGTGGCAGTGGAACAAGATGAGGTCGGTTAGATGGACAGAGGACAGCTACAAATGCCTACAGCTTTGTAGGATAAGCTAAGAGAAAACAAGAGAAGGATGATATACTGGACAAGAGGAGAGATTTCAAAGCCAATGAATTGCCTCTCTGCAATGCATATGGCAGGCTACAGAAGGCATTGCTTGGTGCAGAACATGCCTCTTCTTTAATGAGTTTCACTTCAGTGAGCTGTTACCTACTTTTATAAATATGGAAAATGTTTTAGATAAAATATATGTATTTGATTCCATGTCTAGCAAATCATAGATCTTAAATAAATGTGTGTTGAAATGAAATGCATCTGTTAAATTAACATTCTCCCCAAATATTTCCCATTTGTTCTCTCACAACATCGAATTTTCTCCCCTTGATGTATTGTCCTCTGTTATACTATATTTTTTAACGAGTCAACAACACAAAGGTATATTTTTTAAAATAACTGACATCTATTTCTTTAAAAGTTGGCAGAGCAATAACATGACTATCAATGCCAAAATAAAGATTAAATTATCATTAGAATTTATACGAATCCCCTAATGGAAGCAGCTATTAATAGTAAAAACAACTATTGATGAATAAGTATCAAGAGAAGGGTAAACATGAATTGCTCCTTGTTATCCACAAAGGTTACTTGGCAGAGAAAGTCTTATTTTTGAGATTTTATTCCTACAGTTCAGGTTAATTACTATGATGGCTAACTTTTATCATTTTAATGCAGGATTGTGGTTTGCTGATTCAGCCAGAGGAAACCTGTGGGTTACAGCCTATTTCCTCTGACTACATTGAAGCCATTTCACAGCCCGAACTAAAGACTTGTCCATCTGGGGATACAAAAGGTAACTACTACACTGGATATAATTTCTTTTAAAAAAAAAAAAATCCCTTAATATACATAAATAGTAGATGGTTACTTAAGCTAGTCTTCTAAAAAAAAAATCAAGGTGATATGGTGCTTTTTAATTAGTATGAACTGCCACACATATAATTAATGAAAATGCATTGTTTATGTGAAATATCTTGATTAATCAAATGCTTTTCTTTTCACCTTCTGCTCTGTCCTTGGTTTAATGCATATTCACCATAGATCTCAGTCAAAAAGTCTTAGCATAGAGCCTTCCCTTGAGCCTCTGACTTGTTTTCCTTACTATGTATTTTCATAGCACCCAGTGTTTTTCTTCCTTTGCAGCTTCCACAATTATTTAAATGATTGTTGTTCATTGTTGTTCAATTGCTAAGTCATGTCTGACTCTTTGCAACCCCGTTAAATGATTAAGTATGTAATTGACTTTAATGTCAGTGTTCCCAGGCTGTAAGCTGGATGGGGACAGGGGGTCTCAGTTATTCATATGCTACCAATTCACTTAACATTATAATTTCTACAGAGTATGTACAAAATAAGTTGACCTTGTGAACCCAAAGAACTGCAAAGGATAGAGGTTCAGTTTTATATCATGTCTTCAAGTTAAAAAAAAAATCTTTGGGAGCGGTCACTATTGTCTCCCATATATTGAACATGAATAAAGGCAGGGAAATTGGAATGTCGAATTCAAATTACACATCCTGGCTATTGTAAACAGTGCTACAGTGAATACTGGGATACAGGAAAGCACCCTAAATGTCCATCAACGGATATAATGGAATATTACTCAGCTATAAAAAGAAACAAAATTGGGTCATTCATACTGATGTGGATGGACCTAGACTCTATCATATTAGAGCGAAGTAAATCAGAAAGAGAAAAACAAATATCATATATGTATGGAACATAGAAAGATGGTACATATGAACCTATTTGCAGGGCAAGAATAGAGACCTAGATGTAGAGGATGGGCGTGTGGACACAGAGGGGAAGGGGAGAGATTTTTTGCAAGAGTAGCAGGGGCATATACACACTACCATGTGTAAAATGGATAGCTAGCGGGAAGTTGCTATATAACACAGGGAGCTCTGCTCGGAGCTCTGTGATGACCTAGAGAGGCAGGATGAGTGGGCTGAGAGGGATGGCCAAGAGGGAGGGGGTGTATGTGTACATAGAGCTGATTCACTTCATTGGACAGCAGAAATTAACACAACATTGTAAAGCAATCATACTCCAACAAAAAATAAATAAATAGAAAGATCCACTTCTAAACAATTCAAATTGCAATATTCAATTCTGCCTAAACCGAGGGCAGATCTGGAATGAGACACTTTGGGGGCACTGTCCACTTCTCCTGTTTCTTTCCTTCCCCAGCATTCTTCTTTCAGGTTAAGCCAAAGCTGGGACTGAAAATACCTCCAAGGCAGTAAGAGGAGCAAAGGGCCTCTCCTCTGCGCTTCCTGGTTACCACTCTGGCCTCCAGACCCCAGGTCTCCTTTCATCTAAAAAGTCTGAGAAAACACTCAGAAACTTTTCTACCCTTGCCGTGAACTTCACACTACAGCCTGAATGGGAAAAGAGTTTCACAAACGGGTGGGACAAATTGCAATTTGGCATGCACGGCTAACAAACGTGGGCATTTCCCAGCTCTGGAACATGTGTCCTAAATAATAAATTACGGACAGTGCGTAGAGAGGGATTCACCCATTATGGTATGTCAGGTGGTATGATTTATGATTCTCGGCTAAATGAGATATATACTCTTGTATACAAAGGAGACATCCATGTGTCTAGGTATTTTCTTTTAATCACATGACAATTTATGAGAACCATAAAACAACTTAATTCAATTCCTCGTACTGAACCAAGTCAAAAGTTCTTCAATAAAAATTTGAAGGTACATTACTGAGATTCCTCAAGAAGTGGCAGTTTCTTCTGTCTGTTAAATTTATAGTAACTTTTGCCAGGCCCCGTACTGAGGCTGTCTCTGTACCTGGTCCTTACAACAGAGGCTGCCATAAAACAGGAGCCATCTGGGAACTTGAGTAGTTAGGCTTCTTTGAAAAAAACAAATATTGACTCCTCAATCAAGCCCATATTCCTCAACCTGACAATAATCTGACCCATCCTATCTCTCCTAACTCCTCCCAGATTCTGGACCTCGTTTCATACTGATAATCGGCTGTAGGACTCCAGCTGTTGTCCATGCTGATCCCTGCTCCTAAGAGTCTTCTTCCCATCTTGATCCCAGTCCTCCTGATGCCATATCCTCTTCTCCAGGAAGTCTTTCTGCACCACCTCACCCCCATATTTGCTTCTCTTTTATGTGGCTCGGATGGTAAAGAATCTCTGTAGTGAGGGAGACCCGGGCTCGATCCCTGATTTAGGAAGATGCACTGGAGAAGGGAATGGTTACCCACTCTAGTATTCTTGCCTGGAGAATTCCATGGACAGAGGAGCCTGGTGGGCTACAGTCCATGCGGTTACAAAGAGTTGGACAGGACTGAGTGACTAACACTTTCACATGCACGCAGAATATCCTAAGCACATGTCTTCAAATAGCACTTACCTCATAATATTTCAGGTGTCTGATTCACATGTTCTTCTCTCTAATCAGTAGTCTTCAAAGGGGAATAATATAGCCGAGCAAGGGGAGAGAGGTACAAAACAGCACAGGGAAGAAGCCAGTAAAGATAAAAATATATGTACCTTTATTTTTATATAATTATCCTTATTTTATTTTATGATGGAAATAATATATAGATATGAGTATATGTACATGTAGCACAGGGTAGGTGTATTAACATGTCAAAGGTGCATAAGCCCTAAGTTTGTCCTGAAGGTTGCATGAGATTTCAAGTGTGTATAGAGCAAAGATTGTACCTTATTCATCTTTCAATGTCTAATATATGATTTAAAAACTGTTGCTGAACTAAAACCAAGATTCAAGCCCTCCTCTCTTTCACAGAAGACTGTGAAATCAACCAAGGTAACCCTTCTACCCTTGAGGTGCTAGAGACCTAAAGATTCAATGTAAATGAGTGAGTTCAGAGATAAGTTTGCAAGGATGGATTTTTTTTTTTTTCTTTTTCTCTCTTTTACTCCTGGAGATGATTTAATGGTAGGACTCCCCTCTGTTGAAAGAAATTGTCACACTATATGACACTGAAGGATGTTTATTTTGGGTGCTCTAGATTTAGCTTATAAGGTCATAGAAGGGTCCCCAAACCTTATTTTCACAGCACATTTCAGTTATCTGCCAGAACTGGATCCATTTTTTTTCTCCTTGAAAAATGTTCTTTCAATAACACCAGCTAATATAATTTTGAGTGGCTTTTTTTTGTTAAGTTGAATTTTGAAAATAATTTAACTATAACATACAACCTAAGAATAAAATTTTTTCCCAGGAAAGAAAAAATAATTCTTCTAACTTATAGACAGAAGTTTATATGATCACTGAGCGAGAATTACCTTTAAAGAAAATGATTTAGATTACGTTTTATAATATATGAACAAAAACTTTTATCTTATCTTTTTGGAGGGAAATATAGCAACTTATACTTTAATAATTCTAATAATATTGAAAATATAGATTTTTTTTCTTCTTAATTAAAAACTGCCTTGTTTTATAGCATTATAGAGTCAGGAATTAGTGCTGTTGTTTATATGATTTTACATCTCACGAAATCACAAAGTTTAACTTCTTTTCTCCATTATATTACCCAATTCAATACACATAAATGGCTGAAATCTAACTTGCATTAAATATAAAGCTATAATGATAAATTAAATAACTTCTCCCCAAAGGTAGTTTCATTCTTCAGAATGTTATTCCCTATGACACATGTCATATTTTATTTCAGAAATCACAGCTTTGATTCATTCATTGTTTAAATATATAGCATAGAATGTATGCCCTGTTTTTTGACAATTTTTGGTGAGCTGGAATCATTTAAAATGTCAAGAAAGCCCAGTCCTGCAGATGTTATACAGATGTCTATTTCAAGTAGTATTACTAACTCACAATAAAAAAGCATTGTTAAGCAATACAAAAATGCAAAGAGTTATGACTATAAATATATGGTAGTATGAACCACTGGGGCTAAATTTTCAGAGACCCAATCAGGCATCTTTTTTATGTGCATGTGATTTTATGCTCACAAACTAATGGTACCCATATTAGGATCTGTGTGCGTGCAATTGGTCACGTTTCTTCAGCCTTAGCAGCAAATGGCCAAAGATCTCAGTTTGTGAAAAATTAGCTGTCAACAAACTTATGGGGGGAGACAGTGTTTGGGCAAAGAGGAGACACATGCTGTTAGAAACTCAAGGTTCTGAGGAAAACCGAGCCCTTCAAAGCATTATTAAATAACATATCATTGGCAGAAACACATGTGTGTCCCCAACATGCCACCCTCTTATGGAAAAAAAAAAAATCTATTTAAAAACAGTCTCTGAATACATGAACCCACTGAGCAAATTCAGCTTTTAAAAATAAAAATACATGTATTATGACAACCTGTTTGTGGCTTTTCTGCAAGTGCTACCAGAGAGATTGCTGGGGGCCATATTGCATTTTCAACTGATGATTCTGTGCTGCTCTAACCTAACATGACATTGTACAAGAGACAGGGATCAAGACCATCCCCATGGAAAAGAAATGCAAAAAGGCAAAATGGCTGTCTGAGGAGGCCTTACAAATAGCTGTGAAAAGAAGAGAAGTGAAAAGCAAAGGAGAAAAGGAAAGATTTTCCCATTTGAATGCAGAGTTCCAAACAATAACCAGGAGAGATAAGAAAGCCTTCCTCAGCGACCGATGCAAAGAAATAGAGGAAAATAACAAAATGGGAAAGACTAGAGATCTCTTCAAGAAAATTAGAGATAACAAGGGAACATTTCAGGCAAAGATGGACTCAATAAAGGACAGAAATGGTATGGACCTAACAGAAGCAGAAGATATTAAGAGCTGGCAAGAAT